CAGTCCTGCTTTAGCTCTTCACAGTCAATTTCCATCCCTTTTGCCACCTCAAGCAAACCCAGCCAATTTTCCCACAGCACTGTTACAATCCTGCCCAGTGCCCTGTCACTTCTCCTGCATAATCTCATCAGCTCTCCAGAGACTTGCCTCAGCTTCACAAGATCATCTTCAGCCGAGTCAATGTTGGAGACTAAAATCTTACAGGAAAAATAAACAAGTAAATAAGTAAAACAATACAGTCAGAAGCACTCAGTAACATGATTTAGAAGATCCTCCAATAAAATGGCAATCACTCCACTGAGCTGGTTAAATGCAGTTGTAATGAAAGAATTCTGTTGGCTAAGACTGCAGAGAAAGATGGGGTAAATAAAACAAACAAAACAAACAGAAGAACAGTGTGCCCAGGCAATTAGGTTGTTCTTAGTTCTTTCTGGTTATTTGGAAGGAAAGAGAAATGAGCAGGAGTTACAGATATATAAAATGACAAGCTTGTAACATGATGAGTACTAAAAGAGGACAGCAAAGAGGTTGACTATAGCAGAGGTGTGGTGGGGAGGCAGCAAGAGAGTCCTGGGTGGGGAAAACGGAAAGTTCTCCGATTTTCACTTCTGAGGGAAAACAACAGCAATGTTACAAATCTGATCCGCCCTGGTGGTGCAAAGAAGCAATGAGGGATCTGAACAGAAATGCCACACTATCTTAAGCACAGATAATGTTTGATTTCTACAGCAATAAGAGGTATTCATTTTATATGGCCTTTTTATAGGTTTATAAATATATTCTGTGGTTTTATATATACATAAATACAGGATAAAGAATTTCACTTCTTTCTACTACGATATCATATGGTGGGCATAGCTGCATCGCAGTTTTGCATGAGCTTTTCAAGTTCTTCAGAGCCTCTCTTACCTTGCTTTCTTCCAAGTACTCCAAAGCTTCTTTATAAGACATTGGTATTTGAGACAAAGACTGCCTAAGCATCTGTTCCAGTTTGTTAAGATTACCACACACTTTATCTTTGCTTTTTGTGTAGCTTTTGTATTTTTCAAAATACCTGTAGGAAACAAATAGAGCAATTAAAATTTGTTGTGGTTGCTCCTCTCTCCAACCATAATGCCCACAAGAATAGAAAAAAAAAAAATCTTCTGAACTAGTAGTCCTTATTATTTTGCAAGTTATCTTCAATTAGCATTTGTCATACACCTCAGGTCCGATATCTGAGATACTTTAGAGATGCAGGTACAAATGCCCCAGAGGTAAAGAAATATATGTATGTATACCTATATATCAGCCATGGAGCTGCTCAAAAGGATTGTATGTCTTGATCCTCGTCAGACATTCCCAAAAATTAGTTCCCAGTTTGTAACACACATTCCATTTGTCCCTACGATGTGTGGTCTGTATAATTCCAATTTCTTATTTCTATATCTTATCATCTCATTTCTATTACCAAAGCCTTTGAAGTTATCCAATTCTTAGATTATAAAAGCAGATTTTAAGGTTATGCTCAACAGGACCAGAAGCACTGGATCATGAGCAAGCAATTTAAAAATCCCGAAGGCCCTTCAGATCTCTTCGGTACCTGTATTTGAAGGAAAGAAACTATGGCCTGTGTCTTGTTTGGGCTTTACTTTCTCAAGCCATCAGAATAGCCTATGAAAGACATGCATTAGGGCCCCTATAGAAACTGTCATAACCTGCACCAGCACCAGCACTGAACTAGAGACTGTGAAAATGTGCTTTCTTCTGACTCTGGCACCCTATGACCCTCAGTCGAGCACCATACATATTTTTCTGAATATACTAAAAATTATTGCATTGTAAATTGGTATCAATATGCTTATTATCTGGTAATTTTCCTTCCATTGCAATCACATCTGGGAACAACAGAAACGCTTACAGTTCCTTCTGGTGAATTACCTGATTCTATCAGACCAGAAACAACACTGCATTTATCATCAGTCAAATTTCTTATGATAAGGAACATGATCTAGGAAGATCTCTTAAACCTACCTCTGTTTATCAGCTTCCTTTCTTTGAGCCTTCTCCCTTAAAGCCAAACTCTTATTGACTAGTTCTGTTAAAGTATTTTCCAGACATATTTTGTCTTCTGGTTTCACTAGGTTTTTCAGCTTGGAGTACAGGTTTTCTATGTCAGCCTTTGCAGAGTTGAACTCTTCTTGTTTCCATTGTGGGGTTTGACAGACCTCCTCTGAGCTACCAAGCTCTGCTGTAGCAGACTGGACTTGAGCTTCATAGTCCTCAAGGAACCTGGCAGCCCTCTGAACAGCGTTGGTATAAAGTTCACCAGTCCTAAATGCCTCCTCCAGAGCACTCTGAAAGTGTTAAAAAGACAAAGGAACAATCAAGAGACTGCTGCGCTCCTCTGGATCACCAGACGGTCTTCTCAAAATTTCACACCTGGCTGTATTTGAGGCCAATGCTCCCAGAATTGGCCTGAGGAGGTGAAGAGGACACATGGCAAATGCACTCTGCTACGTAGGCAGTCACAGAGCAGTGCTGTAACCTATGGATTGATTGCTCTCAGTCATAGGAACAGGGGTTATGAGGGAAGTGCCAATACTGGGAAAGTCCAGAAAGAAGGATGGCAGGACACAAGAGCCATAAGATCCCTTATGAACATGGCAGTATACATCATGTTCAGACAAGGAAATCCCACACATTGATGCTTTATTCTGCTCTAGGGGATAGCTTCACTATAACTTGCCAAACTGCTTCTTACTAAAACCTCTTCTTGTATATATTCATACACAGAAAGAAGCTCTTGGATTCCCACAGGGCAGAGAAACTTTGGTGTTGTGCTTCCCACGCAATACCCAAGCAGTGAAGATGAAGCACAGCAAACCAGTAAATCTGGCAGTAGGACTGTAAGTCCATCAGGGATGCCGAGTCGCTCCCCCTGTTATTAGCCAATACCTCATATTTCCTCATTTGTATCTATTGATCTCTTGGGCAGTCAGGGCACAGGTCTTCTTGACCAGTACACAGTTCCAGAACCTCCCTGCTATGAAGGTTACCACTCTTCTAGTTTTCAACATAAATTTATTCACCAACTCCTTCTCCCTGTATTAACACTGCCCGTTAGCTTAAGCAGTCCTTTTCCATCCATGAAGTCTACCTCCAGACTAATTATGTTTCTCAGCCAGGTTTCCCACTTGCCCTCAGCTTACCACGTTGAGCAAATTCAGTTTTATTAACTGCCCTCAACATTTCTCATCCTTCCAACAGCATCTGTTCCAGTCTGAATGGACCCTTCCTGACAAAGGCATGAAGAATCGGGTTGATCCTCCAGCAATGCCTTATCAATGCCTCATATCCTTGTGTTAAAGCCTTGGATCCCGGTTGCCTTTGCTTACCCTTCCTGTGGCCTAATCACATTGGTTTGACCTGCGCTTTACTCTCCTTGATCATTCCCAGCTGGTAAGCTTTTTCTTCACAGTAGAAACAAGAAACTTCTGGGTTTTTCCACCATTATCACTATTGAAAATGTTGCATAAAATCAGTCCCAAGAATAATCCCGGGACACTTGCACCCAGTCTCTCTTCAGCTCAATATTTCAACACAACCTTTTCCTTCCTCCCCTCTACCTTTCTTTTCTTGTGCCAATCTCCACTGCTCGATTATAATCAAACTGAATACAACTGATTTCTTTTTATCCTTAGTTTCTCATCATGATTCCCATCACATCCACCAATGTAGAGATGACGATGGGACAATTCAGTTACTAGAATTAAAGGGGGATATAAGTCATGAAAATGTAAACGCTACAGTCACAGACACCTAATCTAATTATTGGGAAAAGACATACGGCTGTATCTTACTTTCATTAAATATACTTACAACACGGGCAGCAATGTCTGTCTTCAATTGTATTTCATGATCTTGCAGTGTCTCTAATTTTGTTTCTATATCAGCAGCAAGAGATTTTTCTTCTTGGTTTTCCCTCTCTTTTTCCATTATGCATTTAATAGCAGAAAACTTTGCTTGCATCATATTCTGAATTGCTTCCCATCGTATCTTTTCATACTGCATCATTTTTATGTCTATCAGAAGCGGTTGCTGAAGCTCTAACTGAATATGCTTTATGATGTGGAATATATGTTCTACTTCATTCTGGGTATCTTCCTTGTTTACACACTGCAGACCTGAGACCAAGTTTTGAAGAAACTGATTCAATTCCTCAACATCTTTCTCCAGGCTCTTTATTTCTTTCCTCTTACATTCCTTGAATGGTGTATCAAAGACCTCATTTTTGTTTATTTGATTTGCTACCTCCTGGGTTAAGTACAAGATTTGTTGAACTGCCTGAGACAGAACCTGTGCGGATACAAGATTCTCAGCAGGAGAAGAGCTAGAGCTATTGTTTAGGATGTTAGCTTCTTTTCTTAGAGTGGATATCACAATCTGGATTTCATTTAGCAATGCTTGAATCTTTTCACATTCCCTAACAACATTATCAAAGCGTATTATCTTCCCTTTAATTTCATTTTTAATTTTAAAAAATTTAGTTTGCAATTCATTCAGCTGCAGTGAGTCCCATTTTAGACCTATGCATTCAAAGATTTCTTTGTACTTCATTATTTGTGACAAATTGGACTGAAAAGCTAATACTTTTTCTGTAAGTGCTTTGCGTTTATTGTTCACTTCCTGCTTACCACCTAATAATTCATTTTCTCCCAGGTTCATTTCACCATGCTGTAGATCATTAAGATCTTCCTGCAATGAAGTTATTCCTTCAGCAAACTCTTGGCAGACAGCTATCTTTTTTTCTACTTCATGAAGTTTACTCTGAATTTGCCTCTGTGTCTTTCTTGCTCTATTCTTCAGACTTCTTAATTGATCAATCAAAAATAGTTGTTCAGACAAACTCAGTTCCCCAGCTGTGACCTGACTCTCTTTACAGTGGGATGAGATAAGCCCTTCTATTTCCTGTACGTCCTTTAAAATCCCCTTTAAAATTGCTTGTTGATTCATTAATTCTGACAATGTGCTGGTTTGGTTCATGTCAGGCCTGGCAAGCATCTCAGCATTTCGAAGCTGACAGTGAACTTTTTCTACTTCTGCAATAAGCCTTTGCCTCTCTTCCAGCAGGAGCTCTAGGTGCTGTAATCTTTGAGCCGATTTTAAAACAAGAGCCTGGTATGAATTCTGCAATGTTTGTAAAAGGAAGGTCATATCAGAGATCTCCTCTGGCTTCAAGCTGGGAATGATGTGCTGGAGTTCATAATCCAGTGATACAATCACAGGCTCTCTGTTTAGAATTTCTGTGCTCATAAGCTGACAACTTCTGATCTGTGATTTAACATCACTGGGGAAAAGTGCTGCTTTCTGATCAAAAGAGGACAGTGATTGTTTGACCCATGAAATATTTTCTTTCAGCCTCTTCACCATTTCATGTTTCATGAGAGCAGGACCAGTGATCTTAACATCCTCTCGAGGAGTTTGTTGTGCTGATAATGCTTCCAATTTGCTCTGCAAATCATGTATAGAGTTCTCCAAAGCCACCTTCTCTTGATCACTCCAAATTCTTTTCATCTGCAGTTCAATCCTTCTTTTTAATAGAGAAAGACCATGTTTAATGTCCTGTAGCTCTGTGGTCCAAAGTACAGCGTATTTGGCTTTTCCTGCAGCTGAGGAATATAATTCTGCTTGTAAAGACTGTTCTTGTATCAGTCTCTGAATATCCTGTGCTTTATTCATAAGCAGGTTAAATTCATCGATCTCTGCCACAACTTGATCGTGTTTCTTTTGCACTGTTTGTTCCATGTGTTGCCACCATTGCTCCAGTTGCCTCATTTGGCTTTCGGTTAACACTTTATCCATGCATGTTAAATGCTGAGATAAACTTTCTTGCTGGGTTTTCAACTGGTTTAAGACATCTCTTTCTTTCCATAAGGACTCTGTACATGCCTTAATCTTCTCCAGAAGAACTGTGTTGTTCATAGGACCTCTGCCAAAAATACGAGTAGCGTTTTAAAAAAAAAAATAATTCTCTTAAAACATAGACTAGACACATTTTTAAAAAAATAATTTCACTGTTTAGAAAATGATTCACTCACTTTATTCACTTAATCACATGCATCTCTCCATGTTGTCTCAAAAATTTCCTAACCACTGTTGCAGTATCATTATTTTTTTGCTTATCGGTACAGCATTAGTTATTTCTAGATAACTATGCAGAAAAGGTATATTCTAATGCATATTCTCTAAAATTGCAGTATATACTAATATAGAATGTGTCATTCCCTAAAGGAATGTAGCCTGCCTTTAAAGTTACAATAAATTAAGTTTTAAAAATCAACAAGTTGTTAAGTTATCTTTAAGTGAATTAACAACATTTTATGCCAATTTCTGATTTACAATGAAGATAAAACTTAGTTATAAGAAAAACTTCAAAAATACCCATTCAAGAATAATTTGGAGGAGTTTATCTATGGATCTTTTATTTCCAGGAGTATTTTGAAATTCCCACCTAAGATATGTGTGCATTGGTCATCTCTGAATTGGTACTATAGACTTATTTATTGCCATACAATTCTTCCTATCAAATAAGGTTAATTTTCAGAGTAATGAGATATTTCAATAAGAAAAAAAAGATGAGTCCTTAAAGAAAAAAATTATTTCACATCTGCCATATTTTTGCAAAAATATTTTAATATGGCTTTTAGCACAGCAACCATTTCTTTGTTTTGCTTATAAAATAAAAAGAGTAGGTGTTGCTAAAGGATAGCAGAAAACCACTAGAAATGCTTCTGGTTAAGGCTGTTTAAACTTACAAACCTATGAGACTTCTCTTGCTACCTAACATTAATGAGATGGATAAAACACCATGTTCTCATCTGAGTATTATTGTAGAATGGTAATTCAGTCTAGGACCATATTTATTCTGCGCCTATTAACATAAACCCTCAACTATACTTACATTTTCATGTTATCTTTTTCTGTTGACAAATTTTTCATTGAGGACTGCGCAGCAGAAAGATTTTTCTGGTACTCATTAATTAAACAGTACTGTTGTTGCTTCACTGCCTTAACAGCATCTAGTTCTTGAAGCAGCCTGTCCCAACAGGGCACTGCAGGCTCTGTGGTTTGCAGTTCTGCTCTTTTTGATCCTGTTGCATTGGGAAACGCTTCTTGACTATGACATAAAGATTTTGCTTTCCATGTTTCCAGTTCAGTTTGTAAATTCTACAATCAAGCCCACCACAGAGAGGGGATTAGAAGAGGATCTTAAACACTTTCAGCTTTCAACACAAAATACAGTTAAATACTGATACATCTGCAAACATTTGCTTGCTCATTCACATGCAAATGAGCACACATGCCTGTGCACATCATGGACGCGCAGGCACAATCATAGGTGTATCTACTACTGCACTCTAGAAGAGCAGTATGAAATATGGTATTTACATACTTGCATTAAGGCACAGTGTTTGTAGATTACCTGGTAGACAAACTGACTAATCATGCAGTCAAACCTCAGATAAGACTATATGCAACAATTTTGTTTTGCCCAAGTGAATCACGATTCTGTAAGTGTGCCACTACATTAACAATGAGGAATGGCTTTGCAATTTCCATACCTCCAGCTCTTTTAGTTGTTCATTTATAAGTACAATATCCAGTTCAGCCACTTCATTTTTCAGTTCGTTGACGTTTTGTTCCTGTTCAAAATATTCAGTGTTTACTTGCACTCCAGGAAATAGTTCCTTCTGGACAACCACTTCTGCACCTGTGTCCTACAATGCAAAACAGGATTCTTACTTCTGAAGGTCCTAAACCAACAAGTTTTCTGACTGCAACACTTTGCTTCATATGTTTAAGCCATGCCTAAATCCTGCTGTGGCTTCCCCCACAGCCTCTGTGGGTCAACCAGGACCCAGAGGCTGGAACCCATCACTACGCCCCACCTCTGCAGTCACCCTGGCTTGCCAGCAGTGCTCAGATAGCTGTGAAATATCTGCCCATCATTTTAAGCTTGCAACTCTGATATCCCCACCTTCAAATAACATCCTCCCTGCACCCACCTCTGCTACTGACAAATTCACAGGTCTATCCTGTCTTCTCCCCCTTCTGCTTATACATTCATGGATCTTTAACCTCTCCTCACACTCACATTCCCTCTGCTCAGCACCTGCCTTGGTATACTGCTGTGTCCTTCACCAGGACCATTCAACTGTTCTTCACAGGATTACTCATGCATGAAGCAGCTTGGCTGTGACACAAAGCCACCGCTGCTACTGCCACAAGTGCCATCTGAAATCAGGGGTAAGATGAGAGCTTTAGGGAGCCGTGTCTCCATCGGGATGGGGAGCAAGGGAACAGGTTTAACAGCCCATCAGCTGAGCTCAGGTCGTTGCCCAAGTGGATGCTCTCAGCCAGTCTCAGTTCAGATGTAAAAAGTAATCCTCTAAACCACCTTCACCTATTCAGACAACAATATAAATGAAATGTCACAGGCTTATTGATACCTTAAAAATCTTTCTGCACTTCCCTTCCCCCAGTATCTGTCTGTATCTGCTGTAAACTGCGATCTGTTCCACGTATAGACTTCATGTGAGTGAATGCATACAAATATATAGATATGACTACACTGTGAGCTTCTCCATGGCACCAATATATAAAATGAGCAATGATAAAAAATTCTTTGATAAACTTACTGTATTGCTACTTTAGAAACTATTTTACTAGGAAGTAGCCAGCTATCCCTGCAGCCATATCCCTTGTAAACTGTTACTGTCATCTCTCTCTCTGTGGATCATGAGCCATCCAAAATACACCTGCTTCCAAGCATGGAAAACATGTAACACATTGTAGACATTGTTCTATTTATTTGAACTCTTTTGGTTATTTTCAGCCAAACTGAAGGGGACTACTCATGAACTAGTCAATCAGAGAACTTTTCCATTTATCTGTGTACACATCCATACTGGTTGTATCAATTCAGACATAAGATTTCATCTTAAAGAGACTTTGGAGTGCCATAGAACTGAAGTAAGCAAAAAAACTCAGCTAAGCTATCGCAGAGTGAGGAGGAAATCCACTTTACCAGATTGAAATATAAATGCACCAAAACACACAGAAAATTAAGTGTCCTGATACCAAGGAAAAACTTCAGGATTGCTGTGTTTTGCTTGTTTGTATGATGTTCTCAATGTACACCGTGGCACTGCCTCCCCAGACACACAGACATATAGACAGTGTCAATCACCACACAATAGTTTTAAAGTTTCCCATAGTTTTGCGGTCCATCAGATGGTTGGAGAGGGAGGAAAATATGAGAAAGGAAGAGAATGGGGGTTGCTAACCAGCTATTGTCCTTCAGGTACAAAGCCAGGGCTCCCCTGCTTACTCTTCACAGCACAGGCCTGTGGGAAACTGCCAAACATGACTCTGGCTTCAGGCTAGGGTATAGACCACAGTCTAAATCCTTTCTTATCCAACACCTTCCTCAGGAAACCGGCAGAACCTACTATCCCCTTCCTTTTGCAAGCTCCAAATTAATTAGATACAAACGCTTAAAGACCATGTTTAGAAGTGTAAATCAGACAATTTAGTATAGAATAGAATAAAATAGTTTCAGTTGGAAGGGACCCACAATCATCACCTAGTCCAACTGCGTGACTACTTCAGGGCTGACCAAAAGTTCAAGCATATTATTAAGGGCATTGTCCAAATGCCTTGAGGCATCAAACACCTCTCTAGGAAGCCTGTTCCACTGTTCAACCAACCTCTTGGTAAAGAAATGCTTTCTAATGTCCAGTCTAAACCATTCCTGATGCAGCTTTGAACCACTCCCACACGTCCTGTCACTGGATACCAGGGAGAAGAGCTCAGCACCTCCCTCTGCAATTCCCCTCCTCAGGAAGCTGTAGAGAGCCATGAGGTTGCCCCTCAGCCTCCTTTTCTCCAAACTAGACAAGCCCAAAGTCCTTAGTCACTCTTCACAGGGCAACCCTTCCAGCCCTTTCACCAGCTTCGTTGCCCTCCTCTGGACACATTCAAGGACCTTTATGTCCTTCTTAAATTGTGGGGCCCAAAACTGCAGACAGTATCCAAGGTGAGGCCGCATCAACAGTAAATACAGTGGGATAATTGCCCTTCTTGACTCACTGTGTTTAATGCGCCCCAGGATGCGGTTTGCCCTCTTGGCTGCCAGGGCACACTGCTGACTCCTATCGAGCCTGCTGTCAACTAGCATTCCCAGATCCCTTTCTGCAGGGCTGCTCTCCAGTTACTCCTCTCCCAATTTATACATGTGCCCAACATTATTCCATCCCAGGTACAGAATTTGGCATTTGGACTCGTTAAATTTCATCCCATTAATCATTGCCCAATGCTCCAATCTATCTAGATCCCTCGGCAAGGCATCTTCTCCCTCGAGAGAGTCAATAGCATCTCCCAGTTTGGTATCATCAGCAAACTAATGATGCATTCAACTCCTGCATCTAGATCATTGATTAATATATTGAATAGAACTGGCCTTAGAACTGAATCCTGAGGAACATCACTGGTGACAAGTTGCCAGCCAGACATAGCCCCATTCACTACAATGCTTTGAACTCTGCCCTTTAGCTAGTTCTTCACCCAGCGTGCCATAAACCTGCTCATTCCACAGTTGGACAACTTGTCCAGAAGGATGCCGTGAGGGACAGTATCAAAAGCCTTCCTAAAATCCAGCAAAACTACATCCACCGCCCCTCCTTCATCCACTAGGTGGGTGACCTTATC